TTCTTTCATTCCACACTGTATAATAACGCCACCTATATTTTTTCGTTCTTCAATATATGTATATATATAGAATAACACGAAAGAGTAAAAATCAACTGCTGCGCATCATCTATCCATCTATGTTGAGTGTCTCTATTCTGAAAAAACTAACCACTTTTCACGATACATTACGAAATAACACGGTGACTCTCATTCTCTTTTCATCTCTCTCATATACACATCTCCATTTTTTCACACAGACACTCACCACACTAAATCTCCAAGGCAATCAAATCGGACCTCTCGGAGCACAACATCTGGCTGATGCATTACGAAATAACACGATGACCCTCATTCTCTCTTCATCTCTCTCATATACACATCTCCACTTTTTCACACAAATACTCACCACACTATATCTCGGATACAATCAAATCGGACCTCTGGGAGCACAACATCTGGCTGATGCATTACGAAATAACACGGTGACCCTCATTCTCTCTTCATCTCTCTCATATACACATCTCCACTTTTTCACACAGACACTCACCACACTAAATCTCGAAGACAATCAAATCGGAGACAAAGGAGCACAACATCTGGCTGATGCATTACGAAATAAAACGGTGATCCTCATTCTCTCTTCATCTCTCTCATATACACATCTCCACTTTTTCACACAGACACTCACCACACTACATCTCGGAAGCAATCAAATCGAAGACAAAGGAGCACAACATCTGGCTGATGCATTACGAAATAACACGGTGACCCTCATTCTCTCTTCATCTCTCTCATATACACATCTCCACTTTTCACATAGACACTCACCACACTACATCTCTTCAACAATCAAATCAGAGATAAAGGAGCACAATATCTGGCTGATGCATTACTAAATAACACGGTGATCCTCATTCTCTCTTCATCTCTTTCATATACACATCTCCACTTTTTCACACAGACACTCACGACACTAGATCTCCAAGTCAATCAAATCGGAGCTCTCGGAGCACAACATCTGGCTGATGCATTACGAAATAACACGGTGATCCTCATTCTCTCTTCGTCTCTCTCATATACACATCTGCACTTTTTCACACAGACACTCACCACACTAAATCTCAAAGACAATAAAATCGGAGACAAAGGAGCACAACATCTGGCTGATGCATTACGAAATAACACGGTGACCATCATTCTCTCTTCATCTCTCTCATATACACATCTCCACTTTTTCACACAGATACTCACCACACTATATCTCGGATACAATCAAATCGGACCTCTCGGAGCACAACATCTGGCTGATGCATTACGAAATAACACGGTGACCCTCATTCTCTCTTCATCTCTCTCATATACACATCTCCACTATTTCACACAGACACTCACCACACTAGATCTCTTCTACAATCAAATAGGAGACAAAGGAGCACAACATCTGGCTGATGCATTACGAAATAACAGGGTGACCCTCATTCTCTTTTCATCTCTCTCATATACACATCTCTACTTTTTCACACAGACACTCACCACACTAGATCTCTCTTACAATCAAATCGGAGACAAAGGAGCACAACATCTGGCTGATGCATTACGAAATAACACGGTGACCCTCATTCTCTCTTCATCTCTCTCATATACACATCTCCACTTTTCACATAGACACTCACCACACTACATCTCTTCAACAATCAAATCAGAGATAAAGGAGCACAATATCTGGCTGATGCATTACTAAATAACACGGTGATCCTCATTCTCTCTTCATCTCTTTCATATACACATCTCCACTTTTTCACACAGACACTCACGACACTAGATCTCCAAGTCAATCAAATCGGAGCTCTCGGAGCACAACATCTGGCTGATGCATTACGAAATAACACGGTGATCCTCATTCTCTCTTCGTCTCTCTCATATACACATCTGCACTTTTTCACACAGACACTCACCACACTAAATCTCAAAGACAATAAAATCGGAGACAAAGGAGCACAACATCTGGCTGATGCATTACGAAATAACACGGTGACCATCATTCTCTCTTCATCTCTCTCATATACACATCTCCACTTTTTCACACAGATACTCACCACACTATATCTCGGATACAATCAAATCGGACCTCTCGGAGCACAACATCTGGCTGATGCATTACGAAATAACACGGTGACCCTCATTCTCTCTTCATCTCTCTCATATACACATCTCCACTATTTCACACAGACACTCACCACACTAGATCTCTTCTACAATCAAATAGGAGACAAAGGAGCACAACATCTGGCTGATGCATTACGAAATAACAGGGTGACCCTCATTCTCTTTTCATCTCTCTCATATACACATCTCTACTTTTTCACACAGACACTCACCACACTAGATCTCTCTTACAATCAAATCGGAGACAAAGGAGCACAACATCTGGCTGATGCATTACGAAATAACACGGTGACCCTCATTCTCTCTTCATCTCTCTCATATACACATCTCCACTTTTCACACAGACACTCACCGAACTAAATCTCTCTCGATATCAAATCAGAGGCAAGCTTCGAGATCGGTTGAACGAACTGATTGAGCAAAATCAACGACGAACAAAATCGTGAATATTAATTTTCAAGATGGTTGAACGGTGAACTGCAATATTTGATTTAATGTGTGATTTGCTTTTTTTGCTTATTTTCTTGTTTGTAAGTGACAATAAAGACTTTTGATTTCCAACGTGACATGTTTGATATTGAACATATCAGATTAGTTTTCTTATAGTGAAAGGACGAAGACATAGGAATTGAGTTTTTAAGTTTTGCTATATATGTGATTTTAGTTAAAAGAGATAGTACACATTTCTATTGTCAGTAATTATTTCATATGAATAACATTTTGTTGAAACAGTTTTCACCAATATAAGTGATATTTCGTTGCTGTGAGATGGAAAAATCGATGAAATGAATATCAGATGTAGGTTCTGATTGATATGAGCTTGACTGCCAAAGGATAAATAGTTGACAATTATTTTTCCCTTTTTTTTGGTAAAAAGAAAACCTAAAATTTCTGTGATTGACAGCTGTAACGATCAGCGGAAACCTTTCATGGGAATATGGCATATGTAGTTATTGGATCACAAGTGCATGAGATTCTGTTCTCTTAGATGGGATGTTGACTATTGGACTATTCTATGAAAATAAATTGTGTCGATGCGAGAAGACGCTCTTTTTAAAGTGAACTGACCTTTATGAGGGCATATTGTATGGCGCTCAAATTGATTGAGGGTGTGGGTGTGGTTGTGGTTGTGGATGTGCGTGTTGATAGTCTATCCACACTCTTACACCAACGCCTATATTCACAGCGACTCAGACCTTTCCCGACACCCACATTCCACCCACACCCCACACCCACACACCCTCTTTTTTTTCTCTTCTCGTTCAGCAGAACGTTCTGTTGTTCTTGTTGCACTTCACACGTTAGAGTTATCTGCATCTACGGTTTCCAAAGAAAAGTAGGAAATTGGTCGATGAAATATTCTATACAAGCTATTTTAATTTTTAGATAAAAATGATAGCATGATATGTACAATTATATTGGTAATTTCAAAAGTCTGAAAAAAAAACAAATCTATTGCATCATCAATATTTAAATGGCTTATTATTTATAAGTTTTGTGAGAAAAAAAATAGAATTCATATTTAATATCGTTTTTCTTCAATGATTTTAGAAAATTATAATTCTTATAATTAGAAATAGTTTATCTCGATACCTTGTAATCAACAACTGTTTTGTGTTTTATATTTATTCTCTTTTTCTAGAAAACAGCAATGGGAATTAATCAGACTGATATGAATAAGAAAATAATCAATACCGTTTTAATCATTTTATTTGAGACGTTTCGTTATGAACTCATAACATCATCAGTCAAAAAAGAAATGAAATGAAAATACAAGACAAGAGAAAGAATAAATAGATAAATAGTACAAAGAAAGAGAAAAGAATAAATACACTTATTAAAAGAAAACGTTTTCTTTTAATAAAATAAAATTATTAATTTTTGACGCTCCCTCCCCCTCCCAAAAAAATCTTGTGCTTTGTTCAAAATTAGAATATATTTAAGTTAAAGCTCTTCTGTGAGTATACTTGTTTTAATTTCTTTTGATTGTACCAGTTCATACGTAAGCTTTCTTTAATATTCCGTTTTAAGTCATTAGATTCTATAGCTAAGATATTCGTACTCTAATTATTACGATGATTAGCATTTTTACAATGTTCAGCTATTTTTGGATATTCTTTACCACTGAAGGTTTTCTTGTGTTCTTCTTTACGGACTTCAGCACCTCTTGCTGTCTGTCCTTTATAATAACCATTGCAATCATAACATGAATAACCGTAGATTGCTCTTTTATGATCAGTATTATTATGATAAGTTCTGCTGAATGACAAGGATATACGATGTCCTGCTTGAAAACCAAAAATAAGGGCGTGGGTGTGAGAAAATAGAAGGTCGCATACCCACACCTACACCGACACCCGACAGCCACACCCACCCACACCCCGCACCCTTTCTTTTTCTTATAGTTTCTTTTCCTTTCGGTTTCTTTTTCTTTTTCTTTTGTTATATAATATGTGCACATGTTTCTTATCTATTGTGTTTATATGGGTATAGCAGAAGCTTCTGCTTGTTTTCATTCTTTTTCTCGTTTTTTCTCTCATGGATGTGGTAGTGTGGAAATCTTTAGTTCGATTCTAGTTGTAAAACTTTACTCACGTTTTTACCTTTTTAATCATTAAATTTCATCCTCACTCACAGGTTTACCCATTGGTCCAGTCTGTGTCCTCCTTTTCAAGGTTATTAACTTTTGAAAATTCAAATAAAATTTTTAAAACTCGAGAAAGATATTCGAATTTTATATGTACGAAACATATTGAATTGGATAGCTATTGTTTGAACTTCATAACTGGACAAAGTTGAAGAAAGTTTTTGGACTTTTTTTAGACTTACTGACGAGACTTTCTCTAGAAAAAATGCTGATTATTCATCATCTCGGTATTTCGCAATCAGAAAGAATTGTTTGGTTATACGAAGAATTAGAAATTCCCTATCAACTTATTCGTTACGATCGTGATCCTCAAACTCGTCTTGCTCCGAAAGAATACAAAGAACGTCATCCAACTGGAACAGCTCCTGTTATTGTCGACGACAATGTGATATTGGCAGAGTGTGGCGCAATTATTGACTATATAATTTCCAAATATGGTAATGATCGTTTCAAGGTGAAACCTGATAATCCAAACTTTACCTACTATTTACTCTGGTATCATTTTGCAAATGGTTCAATGCTGCCAGCTTTTCTTGTTGATTTGGTTGTCAAATTACTTGCTGGTGACACAGATAATTTCAATACTATAGTCGAGACATTACAACAACGTGCTTATCGTGCAATGGATCTAGCGGAAAGACGGTTAGGTACAAATGATTATTTTGCTGAAAATGAATTCACTGCAACAGACATTATGATGGTCTTCCCGTGGACAACAATGCAGGCTTTTTCAACATTTGATCTGACCTCATATCCTAATATACGAGCCTATTTAAAACGGATTGGTGTACGTACCGGTTATCAGCGAGCTATGAAAAAGGGTGATCCAGATTTTACACCATTGTTAGATTAATATATTTCAAAACAAGAGAATGTGGATCTTAGTTTTGTCATACTCATGCTTAATTAGTTTTTACATAGACTAAAACTTTAAGGATAATCGATTTAATATAAACAGAAGAATATCTTGTCTTTTGAAAGATAGAATAATCATCAACATAAAATAATTTCGTTGACAAAATACTCGTTGTGTTTTCATAGTCCATTCTCTATGTTCCAAAACAGTGATAAAATGGTTCAGATAATTTGAAGATATGAAAATTAACTATTGATAAATCAACAATAATATCAAACTGTATAAAACGTAAAAACTCTTGAGATTCAACTGAAAAGCACTTCAAAGAAATTTAAATTCAAGAATAAACAAACAATTTGTTCATCAACTCTTTGTAACTACTAATTCATTTCAGTCTCTTTACAACTAAAAAAGAATTAAGTCAGATTTGTTCTTCGATTTTATTGCACTGCATGGATCATGTGAAAACAAAAGTTTATTTATCTGTTTCATTCGAAGATATTTGCGGAGAAACTTCAACTTCTTTCGACGTATCCAATTCTTCTACATCGTGAAGGTTCTAGTTTCAATCAAACAAATCAGAAGAAAGTTGTCCTAAAATGCAGATAAGAGCATAATAATGGTTTAGATAAAAATAATTTCATGTACGCACCAAATAGAATTGGTAATATGATTTTGCATATCACTTTACTGTTTATATCATTCTACGATGGCAAGCTTGGTTGAATCTGTCACATCTATTTGAAAATGATATGTTCTATCTTTTTATGGAAAGTAAAATCTCACGTTTTTCTTATCTTGACTAACAAACCAGTCGATAGTTCCTTTGTCTTTATTATAGACACCCTCTCTTCACCACCAAAAAGTACAATGATAGGGAACACCATCTTAATACTTTATTGTGATTGAGAGATAGAAAACAAAAAACGAAACGCAAAAGAAATTAAACGACTCCACGTGCACATACATAAAGTGATATAAGAGATGAAAAAAGAACATCACTATGCTCGATAAGAGTGTAAATTGGTTTGTGAGAATAAAAAAGAAGTTCTTATTCTAGATCATATTCTTTATGAAAAAAAGTAAACTATATCATGTATCGAAACATTTTCGATCGAAAATTATCAACGATGAATAATCATTCTTGTATTCTAAAAGTTGGTTTTGGTGATGATTTTGTGACAGTACATAAAACATTACGTGATACTCAATCGGATGAAGAATTAACACTATACTATAGACTCTTAAAACCTGAATATTCTTTTGATGATGGTTTCAACTAGGAATGGAGTTCGTGGAATTGTTCTAAAATATTACATTTTGATTTTTATAAAAATCTTCAATTTCAAAATGAATATTATAGATACTGTAATGGTTATTTTAATTGAAAAATTGCAAAACTTTGTCCCGATCTGAAAAAATGAATGTACAAGTAATTAGTTAAGTCAAAGAAAAGTTGTCGAATTATTTTTTTGTTGTTTGTTCTTTTGCTCATTCGATATTACATAAAATCATCTTGATCCTTTTCTTTTTTCTTTTCTCAATTTCAATTCTATTTGTCTATTCTTGTTTGAATAATCGGTCATTAATCAAGTAAGAATGACGAATCGAGAAAACTATTTGTTATTTGAACTTTATCTCTTGGTCATATGATTCATTTTTCTTTTCTATAAGACTGGAATTAATAAATACTCGAAAATTTCTGATCACAGTTGATCTGAAGCAAAATTGTTCATTTCAATCTATTCAACAAAAAAATAACAAACATCAATAAGATAATTTGAACATTTTCTACAGTTTTTATATTTGTGAGAAAAGTTCATAAAAAATTCTCATTGATTTTCGAATGAAAGTGAAGAATAACAATTCTTGACTACAGTTATTATAAGGAATTGTTAAAATTTCTCGTTGAGAAATTTAACCATTTGATCTAAAATCAAATCGAAACTGGTTGACAATGATCAAAAAAAAAATATTTATCTTTGTTTTTTTTCTCATTTGTAATTTGAAACTCGTTAAAAATAGACGAAAAGTCGAATTCAATTTTGAACTTTTAACAAGAATTTCAATTTGAATTTCAAACAAAATAAATTTCGATTGTTTCTCTTGTCTCAATAATTGATATTCTCTGTTAAAGACGCCGTTTTCCTATTTCAAAAAGACAATAAAAACCAATTTCTTTTGTTTATTCTATATATATATAGACATTATTTTTATATGAATTCATTTTTTTTTGTTGATAATCGTGAGTTAGACTTACACGAATTCAAGCTGAGCATTGGAGGTAAGATATTCGAAAATGTTTTTATAATATGAAAGAAAATTGAGAAGAAAAGAAAATATGAAATAATCAGAATATTTTAAGATAGTTTATGAAGACGAATATCATTTTCCGTCATTATGGCGAGAATATCATTACCCATTTGAACGGCATGAAGAGGTGATGGATTGTATTGATCGTTTTTTATAATTTTTCCGCCTCCAGAAATATGTAGAATTTCGGAGTTGTTTGGATTCATTACCATCCATTCGTCATGTCTCAACGAGCAACATCGACTTCCACTGAATCCAGTCAAAGAATCGAGCTCAATCGACAAGCGTCATTCAAGTGTTTTCGGTGAACATAGATCGAAACGTACTGTTTTTTGGTGATTCTCGATGATGACAACGAGTACACGATTGTTCAATGAGAGATCTTGGATTCGTTCATTTTCTCTGCAGGAACCTGGTGATCGGTATTCTTTGACTAATCGAATCGAGGGTAGAAGAGTATACTCGTAGATCGATGGATCGACGCCTATTGTCGAGAGAAATAAGTTATCATTTGAACACGTTCCACAATACCAGTTGTTCCTGTTTGCATTGCTTTCAAGTGAAATTGGCTCAATATACATTATCTTTTCATTGAGAGTAAAGATTTGGTCCCAGGTGAGGATAACAAATTGAACGAGTGTCGAAGACCAGAACATATCCCAAATAGTATGATGAGTCCATGGAATTTCTTTGCAGATGCTCAATCGTCGATTCAAAAGACAGAGTTTTGATTCCCATTTTGCTAAGATAAAATTGTCATTAACTGCTATAGAATACAAACTGTCTCTTAGTTGAATCGTTTGATATGGAGAAGATAGAGGCAAATAAGCGTTTGATTTTGATCTATTGTGATGAATAGCAACGAACTGATCATCGACGATCAGTGGCGAGAGAATGAATTGAGGAAGTTCGAATTGATCTGCTTGATGTTGAATTGATCGAATGGACTCCTTCATTGAATCGATATCTTCTTGTGTTGCTTCTTGTTCTCGAATGAATTCATTGATTTGATTCTGTAAACGATTGAGTTCGACTTTCTGATTATCTCGTTCGCTATGAAAAAATTCTTCGAATACTTGTTTCTTTCTTTCGCAGAAACGATCAACTGCTTCATGTACTTCTTGACGCCATTTATCAAGTTCACTGACAAAACCAGGTTGAAGCAAAGATTCGATGTTGAATTGATAGGATAGTTTGTTGAGTTCGTGAGTAAGTGGTGTCAATCGAACATTGACGAGATCGGAGTGTTCATTGAGATGAGCGATGCAAAAATTCTGTTGATAACAGATGCAGAGAACTCGAGCGGATCGTTTACAGGAATCAATGGTGCACACTTGTGATAAGGCCATGTTCACTAGCAAATGAAGGAGATAATAATGAGACACGAATCGTTTCTCTGGCAAGTGCAACGTCTGACTATAATACGACTTTTCAATCTATCGCGTGACCAATGTTTTTCCGCTCATCTATATAAGGTCGTGTTCGATGTGAAACAAATCTGACTGGATGTGGGTGTGCGTGGAGTGTGGATGTGTGGGCGTGAGTGGGTGTGGGTCGGTGCGTGGACGTTAGTGGAACGCATATGAACACCCACACCCTGTTATTATAAATTTTTAGTATTATTTGAAAACAAAACCGATCAATTGCTTTATCATATAATCGATAGATAATGTCATTAGATGACCATTTAAATAATGTTAAACGACTGGTAAAACAACGATCGAGTAGAGTTTTGTCTATTTTTTCATGAACACCTGTTAATGAATCAAATGCATCGATGATGTTTAATTTTGTAATAATCATTAAAAGTATCTCACCAAGTAAATCAATAAGTCAAATGGATTCCATTTTTAAATTGAAATGTCAATAATTATTATTGCCTAAGTTGATGACGGATGATAATATTTTTCAATCAAGTAATAAGTTTTATATTATTTTTTTCTGTTAATATAAGATTGTTATTTATTTATTTATATTAAATAATGAATAAAACAAGTTTTAATCACAATTATTTTTAACAAGTGATGGTTGTACAATTACTATACGTATTATTTTTCTTTCACTAGTTTATTTTGTTCATGTATATTATACTGTGAACGAATATTTTCAAAATAATTATCTGAAAATATGAGAGGTAAGCAACGGTGTATATTAATACATTCGCGGCGATATGAATATGGTTTTTTCATAATTAGTGAAAGGTTTCACTTCTTTATCGATGGTAGTTGTAATACTTCAAAACAGCTTTTGTCAATGTCTCTCTTATGGATATGATCTATGAACATTTCTTCATCAGTGGTACAAGAACCAGCCCCATTGGTCAAAATATTGCAGAGATATTCAAATTTTTCTGCGTTAAAGGAACTTTTGGATGGCCCTGTAGTGATGCCCACCGCCTCGAATGTATTAATGAGATTTTCAATGTAGCAGTAGCTGAAGCAATTATCATGAAAATTCGGCTTAGTATCCATGCGTGTTTCAGATAACTGAATAGGCCCTCTGTAAATGGATTCGAGTAGAGAATTGAATTAACATTTGCGTTTCAATTCATCCCTATCATACAATCTATGTATGGCCTGAGAATTCTCCCTCTTGACATTCATAGTTGTCAATATCTTTAAAAACTGTGTATTCGTAGAAACTCAAAAACCCTGTTCAGAAGAAATGTCAACAAATACGAAATATGATACTCGATTGGTTTATGCTTTTAGCTTGCTTAAAATCGAATTTTGTCGATTCAATATACAGCAACTAATAGAAGCAACGGAACAGTTAGCTAGTCCATTGAAATCTAGTAATTTGGTAGAGTTATGTCATCATCATTAATATCTGAAATTTCCACATATGTTATAACATGACACATTTCATTGTGTTATTTGTAACAATGCTAAAAGATTTTATCGAATGGAAAATGAATGTTCACGAGTAAAATTTTTTGATAAGAAATGACTAATACAAATATTCATTGAAGATAGTATAATACATTGCAAACTTGGCTGAAGATATGCTTCATGTTACGTAGTTATGAGAAATTTTCTTTATTGTTATTGTCTCTTTTACTTGTCCTGTTGCTTATCTATTGAGAAAATGTTTCCAATAAATAGCTATCTATATTTTAGATATTAATTCTACTGCAGAAAAAATTAATTTATAAATTAGACAATCGATAGAAATTCATATTTCAGACGTGCAATTCTCTGAGAGTTTTTCTTAAAAGGATTCCGTCTTTCCGTGGTTTCTGATGAACAGATCATCATAAATATTTGAAACTTTCATGGTAGATAGATCTCGATGAATACAGCAAAAGTTGTCATAGATTCCAAATTTCCAAAAATTTCTTTCTAGGAAATATCTGGGTTGCAAAGACTAAAAATCACCCAGCTCTCTCAGCCATAATACCTTCGATAGCTTTGAGATTTTTCAAGATCAAAATATTGAGCATACTTTCAAAAATAAATATTTTTTTTGTAAAATCTGCCAAAAATCAACGACGCCATATTCTTCAAAATAAAAAAAAAGTAGGCGCCATAAATGGTGTCCAATACCTGTAAGAAAAAGTTTCATCATGATCGAACATACTATGTCTCAGAACTGAATGCAATACCGCACTCTTTTAGTTCAAAAACTGATTTTGAGAAAAACGAAAAACAAATTTTCCTGTATGTACTAGAGCTTAGTTTCTCCAACTAAAGTGATCGAAAGCTGGCTGTGTTAGAAACAATAATCGTAGTGCGAGTTCTTCGATAGTTGGGTTTAATAAAAGTACTAACTGTCAACGAAGAGTCTCATTTATATGGCATTTGGCAGAGAACACTTTGAAGCTGAACCAAGAATCAAAAAAATTTTGACTTTAATATCCGAAAAGCAGAAGGAGGTATCCTTTCAGTGAATTAGAAAATATTACTTTCATAATTAATATAAGATGATTTTTACACATTGAGTTTGAACACTTGATAAAGTGATTGATATGTCTTTTGAATAATTACAAAAATAAATATTATTGATTTCAAATTTTAGATTGTGAAGTCCATTGTTCAATTTTCATTGCTTCAGAGTATGTATCACAGTTGAAATTGTTGGTTTTTAACTCTGAATAAATTTCAGAACACTCTGATAAGAAGGAATTTACAACATAATAATAGATATTATTAAACTGAAATTCAGTAAAAAAAATACATCTCATCTATCAATTTTTAATATTTTATTATTACTAAATAAATAAAAATTAACAAAAAAAATAACAAAACAGACTTCTATTTCACTATCATATCAGTAATACTAAAATAATTCATATTTACTATATTTTTATAGTTGCTATTGAACTATTCAGCTACAAATTAAGATTTTTTCCGACGAGTTAAGTCATTTTTATCACCTTCAAAACGTCGAACTTCTGCTATTCTTTCTTGCATTGATGTATACATATCATATGGTGCTGGATCACTTTTACCATTTTGACGTGGACTTGGAAAAAAATAAAATGATAGTAAAGTTACCATAGCTGATTGATCATAACGATGTTTTTCTGTGAGACCGGTTACACGTTTACATTGAGTTCTTGAATATGATGGTGTTATACAAGTTGAATCTAATGCACATGTAACCCATGTTTTAAGTATAAGACGTGATAGAAAATTATCTGTTACAGCAAGAAAACCTGCTTCTGCAATATAAACATCATCAAATGTTGAAAATGTTTCATTAAACCATGAAAATGTTCCACTTAAAGTAAAACATGGTAAATAATGTCCAGGTAATTCACGACATGAAAAACCACGTATCAAATTATCAATAAGTAAACGATCGAAATTTGATGTTTTATAACGAATCGATGTATCACCATAAATAATTGAACCAAAACGTCGAACAGCATCCTAGAAATATAAATATTTAGATTTTATTTTTATTAGAAATCAATGTTCAACCTGAATTACAATAGGTTTCCAAGCAAAATTGCCTAAACTTCGAATATGTGGAGCAACAGAATCGATTTGAGCAAATGGAAATGGAATAATTATACATCGAACACAATTCTCTTTGATCTAAAATAAATTTAAAACTTTATTATAGGTTATATTTTCGTTAGAATTAGTATAATGTTTTTTAGATAACATTATCGAAAATTATTTTGACAAAACTGAAATTCATGTTTCTCCTATTCAACTATCAGTATGTATCTGATTTTTTTAGACAAATTATACGAGCTTTGATTAAAGGTTTAAGTCGCTACAACACAAAAATAGATATTTGATTTTTAAAAATTTCCAACGTTCCGAAGTAAGGTGTGGACATATCATTGTCTGATTTCTTGTTAATAAGTTCTCTACTATTGTTTTCTCCATATTTTATAGAAAATTCATTCTTTGCTTTAATTGTTACTCTGTTTTTTTTGTCACTCAACCACTGTCATGCATTTTATTATAAAACATTGAATAGTAAACTTCTATAGGTTGACCTTTTTGGAATATTTTGTCTATAGATCTGTTTTTGGGACGAGTGTATTATTTTGTGCTGAAGAAGATATTGGTGTTATTTCATTTGCCTAATATGATAATGTGAATTCTATTTGGTCTATTGGTGAATTTTTCGGTATACTTTTTCATTTATTGAAGCATATTATGCTAAAGATGTATATATATATTGATGAAATTTAGCATCATTATATTAGTGAAAATAAATAAAAATCAATGATTTTTTTAGCGTAAAATCGCAGATTTGTGCCGAAACAAGTCAATTGACTGTATGCTCGAAAGCATCCGATCTATTTATCGACGACAAAATGCTTGCAAATCGTATTTTCTGATGGATACTTTCATGGTTGGTGAACCGCGAAATACACAAGTTTCTTAGAAGATTTTTTCATCTGTAGAGCTCGTTTTGCTGACCAATTTTAATAAAAAAAAGAGTATTCAAATTTACTCAATAAATCATAATGCTAGGGTCAACATACTCGAAAATGTCGACTACCACTTTGCATCAGTTAGGACTATTTTTGTTCTAGTATCATGATTTAGTGAATAAATTTGAATATTTGTTCAAAGCTCTGCATATGAAAAATTTTTTGAGAAGTTTCTGGTTTTTGCAGTTGACTGTCGATGGCAGTATCCATCAAAACCATGATTTGCAAGCATTTTATCGTTCGTAGTTTAGAAGCTTATTGTTTAATGTTTTTATAATAAAGTGCATGACAGAGATTGAATGACAAAAACAGAATAGCAATTAAAATATTCCCATCAATAGTTTCGGATTGTCCTAAGTAGTATTTTTAATACTATGAATTGCTGATTTCGTAGGTTCATACGGTATGTATTTCGTTTAAAAAAATCCGACAGAAAGAAGAACAAGAGAAACATGAATATCAATTATGTCAAAATACTTTTCCATTTTTCATTAAATTAGAAAATTACTTTTAACTTTCTCATATCTTACCATATTTAATTGAGTTGGACTAAATTGAAGATCATAAATGGCAACAGTATAATCCTTTAAATAATCATTAACTGTATGCATTGATGCTTGTAATGTATCATAAAAATGTGAATTAGCTGCAAGAATAATAACTGGTTTTTGAATTTGATCTTCTGAAGTTGTATTCCAAGTTAAATGTCGATTTTTAAAACCATCAGATAAATAACTTGAAACTTGTTTTAAATAAGAAATAAAATTTTGTTTTATAATAATATGACCATTATCAGATATATTAATATATTGTTGAAAAAGACAATAAATATTTTGTAAATGTTTAGTATTATTAGCAAATGGTTTTAATGTATTATAAAAATCATTAAAACGAAATATACCTAAATAATTAAATATTTTATGATATTTATTTTCAAGAAACATAAGAATTTGAAAAAGTTTATATAATCTTTCAATTGTTGGTCGTGGTCGACTATCGTTATTATTATTATTATTATTATTATTATATGATGAAGTAGAATGAAGTAAGAATTCAATTTCATCAGAATTACATTGATTTAAAAGAGTATAATTAATAATCATTATTTCTTCTTCTTCTATAATAGAATCAAATTTAGTAAATATTGATTGTTTAGAAGGAGTATAACTTATAAGATGTAGATATGTTAAAATAATAAAAAGAATAAATATAGTTAATAAATATCGTAGTTTAAAACATTTTCGTAAACGTAAAATGAACAAAAGCCATAAAGTTGGCTGTTGCCCAACGCCACTAGTCGGGCGTTTCATTATTAATTATTGAGTGATATGCATTATTTATTCACTTTTTTTGTTATTTATTCTAAACATAACACAACAATAAATTCAATTGTGATTATCAAAAAAACAAGAAACTTTGAATACAATAGTATGTAATCAGGCAATAGAGTCTAGAAGGAAACGGAAATATACAGTAAAAATTAACATATTGAAAGGACACTTCTGGCTCGTACTCGTAGTATTAACACTGTATACGAAGAAGAAGAAAAGAAACATAACATACTTACTTGGCAGTAAAATTAAAATGTAATAGTTCACAAAAAAACATGTGCCTGTATTCACTTATTGTTACACTATTAATTCTCAAAAGGTTGATGATATAATGAAGGAAAGAATATTTTATTAAATCTGTGATCTCAAATAGACTAGATTTAGTCTAAACTTGGACATAGCGACCTTTCTCTTTTAGTAATTATTAATTTGTTGTAATTTAGATAATCGTAACAAGTATTTTAGAATAATAAATCAAAAAGAATTGGTCACGAGAACAAATAAATCGAACTCATAATCACGCGATTATTTCTTTATTACCCATGTTAATGATAAACGCACTTCGGTCCATGAATTTTCTATCATCGAATCTGAACATCAAATTTCTGCTCCAAGACTTCTACTTTTTTCTAGATACTTCTACTTCGAACTAGCCATACATCATTTAACTTTGTAGAGTTAAGAAACATACAACTCACTCAATCATCAATCTATTCCTAATCATTAATGCCGTTCTGAGATTAAACTATGTTCTTTATAATGAAGCAAAGTAATTTTCACATACATATGCATAAAAGACGAAAGCATACGAAAATAACACGACAATAATGACATGTTCAAACTACCAGAATATACAATTATACACAGGTATATAAAATCACGCTTAGTGAATTACTGGAAGTCACGGCAACTAGGAAATGTTTAAATCGACTTCATTTGACATGAAAAATAAATATATGGATTTATCTTTGCATGTATACTATCTATAATAACAGAATGGCGCAATGATTCGGTGACTGAATAAAGTAAGTACTATTTATATCAATTTACTTGAAAGAACTTCATTAAAGACTAAAAAAAACGATGAATTCTGTAAATGTCATACTTAAATTTCACTAACTACAAAAATTAGCTTACTGTTTTTTTTTTTTTTTTTATTCTATCAAATATGAACAAAAAAGTGGCGAGATAGAAGAAATCTTATCATATAAAACGATAATA